TGAACGTGGGACCAAGACAGATTATATTGTCAGGACATGTAGTAGGCATGGCTGAGAAGAGATATGAACACAAAAGTTTACGTTGGAAACCTGAAAGGGGGTGAATATGTACACGGGAGTGTAAAGGCAGTATGTACGTTTAATGTATGTGGAGGGTGGGAGGGAACTCGATGAGGACATGGAAGTACCTGAAAACAACTAAACGTAGAGCTACTTTATCCGAGCGCCATAGCTCAAGCGGTTAGTCGCTGCTTCCCACCGGGGGGGCCCGGGTTCGATCCCGGAATTTGATCAAGTGGGATTTATGGTGGACAAAGTGGCGCTGGGGCGGGTTTTCTCTGAGTACTTCGGTTTCCCCTGCTAATCTTCATTCCACCAATTGCTCCACAATCACCCTCACCTATCATCCGGGGCTGGTACAATAGGCCAGAAGTGGCCGCAGTACAAGGGGCTTAGTCCAATCCCACTAGCAATAAATAAAAAATCTAATTGCCATGTTTCGTCTACGTATTCCTTAAGAATGTATAGCCATTCAACTCTTTATTAATAATCACTACATGTTTCGACAATCCAATTGGTCATCATCAGGTGATGGAATACTTAAAACATATTTTTGAATTGCAATCACATTAACTAACATGTTGACGCATATTTACAATTGTTTCTGTGTACTATGTGTGCTAGATTCATTGAAAAATCACAAAATTATAAATTTGCTACATTATAATGTAGATCAAGTTAAATCGATCCCATAACATTGAATTAAAATTAGGTAAAATGTAGTACGAGTAAAAAACGTAATAGGAGCATAGTCCCTTCTTCCCCGTGGTAGTTCGGTGTTGATTAACATTCGTGATACATGTGACGCTTTGGAATAGATGGGTGTTACTTAGCCTCCTTGGCTGTGATCCTTTACTTGTGTACTCTTGGGCTGCATAGCTTAAACTGTAAAAGAATACTGGGCTGGCAAATTAATTTTCGAAAAGGATTTCTCTCAAGTATCCTTGGGGAGTTTCCCCCGACATCTAGGACTTGTTTACGAGAGTTTTCTGATCGTTCCATTATCTAAAACTTATACAGAAGCAATGAAAGTTCTTTTTAACTGTCAGCTTTGCATTTCGGCAAGCAGAAGTCGAACTATTTTAGTGCAATGTACATATATATGAAGATATATGTCTAGTACCTGTGTTTGTGTTTGTGTTTCCAGAAATTGAATCAAAAAGATAAACTTGTTCAATTGAATAAAATGCCTTATTTCGTGGCACCCTTATCTAATTTCTTAACATAACTACCACGAACATTGTGTTCGATATGAAGCCTTAACATCTGCTCGTAAATGTGACGAAGCCTGAAATTGTATATATAGACACAGTCTGCTTTTACCGGTTCTCATGGTCTCTTCGCTTGCAGATTTCTTATATTTTTTCTTCTACCCTGAAGATGGAGGCGATACGTTCCTCCGAAACGTCGGTTAACACCACATATACACGGTGCCAAATCCCAGAAGACTGCTTTCTTCATAGTCAATGCCGTGAAAGCCTCAAATCTTACTATTTATTACTTTATCTTCTAAAGCGATAATGTAAGATGTGTGTTTTTGATGGTTTCGTTAAATAAACGAAGAAATAATTGAAAATACCTTGAAAATTACAAGGGTTGGATGAAAAGTAGTGGCAGCACTGCTGTAACATGAATGATGTTCGTCAGGTGGCTGTAGTGATGTCTGTAGCTGATGTCTCTGCATAAATATAGTATACCTTTACGTAAGTGTTTCTGACGTTGTTGTATAAGAATCTAGATTGCTCGTCTTTTGGTCTTTGTTCATTTTCTGCTGTTCTGAAGAAAACAACTTTTCGGAAACGTAGTCATTTCCTTACTCACTTATGGGGGGAGGTGATAAACGCCGTTAAGGACCATTGGACCAGTGAGAGATGCCTTTACATTTCTAGGCAGTTGTATCCCACAAATGGGAGATTTCTTTCTTTCGGACTCTTCGAAACCTATGCAGATTTTTGTCCCACAATTTTAGTTTAATTAACGGTGCGGCGATGTTTAGTCCTACACGTCAGTGTTCCCTTATGGGTATGTAATTTGCAAGGCTTTTATGCCCAGATGTATAGGTCTGGTATGTTGTTTTTGCTTTTGGTGCTCCTGTTTCTGAACGTCAGTACTAGGGCTTTCGCTTTCTTGTGTAAAATTATTTCTCTATGTTGGGAACAGAATATCATCATCAGAACATTTGGTACGTTTCATATATTTCGACCTAATAGAACTCCCAGGAATTGCTCTGGCTCGAAAAATAAAAATTTGGAGATGACGAAATAGGGTTCTTAGAATTTTGATAATGTATAATTCTGGCCAATCCTGGATTTGGTGATTTTATATCTCAGTTCGGAAAACAGTGAATCACAAGGGCTCATTGACGTGTGAGTGCAGACTATACATTTTACTACCTGAGTTGAAGTATTTGCAGAGTATTTGTATAGTTATGATCACTGTAATTGCAAAATCTCCTTTTGAATCAGCAAAAATATATGTTTGCTTTGTATTTCTAAAATAACGAAAACAAGAAGGCAAAAGGAAGGAATGCATAAAAGTGATTTGGTAACTTAGGGCGCCCACAGTCTGTCCTTAGCTATATGTGAATATAAGAATGTTGGTAGCAGCATCCTCTGGGTGTGATAACGGTATTTGTTCTGGTAATTAAGTGTTGTCTAACTTGTGTGATGTTCTACTACGGATCCTGGAACGGAATACTTGCTTGTCTTGTTTTCCCTTCCCCTTTGTCATGTTACAGGCAGATTACAGTCCAGTGTAACCTCATCGAATAGCATGCGATAATACTTCTCTGCGTAGTGTACTCCAGAATTTGCCAAGAAGTTAGGTCGGTGATCCTCAGTTTTATAATTTCCGTTAGATGACACATATATGTACTCGCGTATTTGGAACTTTGTGATTGATTTGACGACGAAATGTTTTGACGACTAATTTCAGTATGAAACATCTTTAGCCACTTACATTGGGAGGCAGTTGTCACTTTATTTCGTATAATCTCCAATACCATGCATCTAAATCTGATCAGGTAATTTCCTAATGAAAAATCCGTGAATCCTAAACAGCTCTTCAGAAGCAGAAAGAGTGCCAAGGAGAATATTCGGGTATAAGAGAGAGAGAAGGACATGTGGCTGGAGAGAACTACATGACTAGGAGCCTCAGGATTTGTGTTGGCAACACACTATTGTAAAATGAAACAGAGATTGATTAAATGGGTAGGACATGCAGTAAGCAAGAGAAAGAAGAGGTATAAACACAGAGTTTGCGTCGGATACGTGAAAGGGAGCGAACATTTGCAAGGTGAGGACGTACACGAGAGTGTAAAGTCAGTATACGTGTATATGTTAAATATGTGGTTGGAAGAGGGAATTGGATTGATTCCTTGGAACTACGAGAGAATAGAAGTGCCTGAAAATCACTAAATGAAAAGGTACTTTCTCCCTGATATAGAGAGAAGTTGACGTTTTCGAAAGAATTATGATCGTAAGAAAATATGCTGCTTAGATTTTCGTATGTACCCATGATGTGTATGTAACGGCCACTTGTAGTGCACTCATTTTCATATGTCACTTCTTACTACATGTTTCGGCAACATAATGCCATCTTCAGGTTCGTCACTTACGCTAAGCTATTACATTGTTTGCCATTTTGTGTCTTTCATAAAACTATCCAGAAAGCACATTATTCGTCAACCATAATAAAATTTGTGTATACTAAAACTTGTTAAGATTATTCATCTACATATCTCAATTCAAACCCGCGTATAATATGGTTCGTCCACTATGGGAGTCGTTTCTGTGAGTACTGTGTCTATGATGTGTCCTTCCTTTTTGGCTGCGAGCGTAGCATAAAATTATGAATTCAAATTGAATCAGGTACGGGGGGAAAACTCTGTTGCTCAAATTACTGTTCCCATTGTGTGACTATGAATTAGTTGTGAGAAGTTAGTTAATATTTATCGTGGAGTATTCATTACTGTATAAAGATTTAAGAAAAGTAATTACACCACAGGGGGCATGCGGTAGCGTAGTTGATTGAGGCACTATGCTACAAGCCAGAAGGTCGCGGGTTAAAGTCCCGATGAGGTCATTGGATTCTTTTCAATTGACCTAATCCTTCCAGCAGCACTATGGCCCTGGGGTCGACACAGCATCTAACAAAAATGAACACCAGGAATATTCTTGGAATATTCTGGGGAGTAAAGGGCGGCCGGCGCGTAGGGCTGACAACCTTGCATTCATCTATGAATCGATTGTCTAGAAAATGTGGGAACCTCAACATCTCACACCCCTATAGGACTCCATGGCCTATTACAGGGATACATTTACTATACTTTTAGTTACACCACAGAGACCAGTTCAGTAAAATCGTACCCGAAATCTACAATCGTTCAGACGTATAATAGCTAAACGGACGGACGATACAAATCGATAGGAGCAGCGGCGGGATTGTGCACGGCCGCTTGAATTCGAGGCTTCATGAAGATAATAAACATGTTTGAGTAAATTATTGCAAGAACGGCTTGAATTTGAATTATACGTATTACGTAGCGACATTGTAGAGTGTGACGCGTCACTCTCCACTCCCACTGTCGTAGGGAATACACGGAAGGGCGTCAAATCCAGCCATTAGCGTATTGCATCATTAAATTACGCGTGTGTAGGATATGCCCCTTGTCTGTTAGGAACTCAAATAAAAAACTTCAAATCATGTGTTTGGATCTCTTTCTTAATTCCTTGCGTAGAAGGAATTTCAGGAAGATCCATTTTGAAACAGGTAGGCTAATATTATTGAAACAATCTTGCATAATATGAAGCGTGGCTCCTTCGTCTATAATTCATTCTGAATTCTACGGGTATACTGGAAAACTTCCTGAGGAGTTACGAATAGTGATTTCTGTGTTAACTTTGCTATTTCTATTTATTTGCCTTTTTTCATTTATTATTATGTAAACTTAAAGGGCTTTTACTCATAATTATGGAAAGTTATTATAAAGGAATATCTGTTGCTGCAGTGCACACACGCATCTGTCTGTGACGAAAATTTCTCACAGGGTTCATGAACAGTGATTAGTATCCCATTTCACAAGCTGATTGAAATCCAAGCCACTTTTCTTCAGTTCTTCCTTCACGTCATCCAGAGTTTCTGCATCGGGATTCGGAGTTCTGAACGCGACGTAAATGAATACTGGAAAGAGAAGACACGTGTAATTGTGTAGAAATGCACTTCAAGGGAGTAGCAACAGACTCTGCTGAGGCTACGGGTAGGAGTCCCAAGGACCGATTGTCCTCAGAAATAATTCTCTACTCCACTGGAGTCGTAGCTGTTCAGAGAAATTGTGTTCTTTACTAGCTTGTGACAAATTTGGTTAGCTACAAGAATATGGAGGTAAGCGACAGTGCTAACTTCGGGGGGGGGAGTGAACTAGATACCTCGAGCGCCGTCTTTCAGTAGCCTCTTTGCTGGGACTTACTATTAATGGAAAATTGAAGGAAGTCATGAGATTATTTTTTTTTGCGGGTAGGCTATGTACATTCCTGTTGTTTGGGATGTGACCCTTGTATTGTGTGGTTGTTCATTGCTAATATTTCGGAGAATCTACTATTTTTTCCACCCGAAGGCTCTGGCTCGATTATTTGTCACAAGGCAGAGGGCAATAAAGATCTTGAACTACAGATGTAAGAATGTGTAGCGTAGTGTATGCTTTACATGGGATTCAGCGCTACTCACATTTGTTCACCGTGGAGCAGCAATACTTAAAAATGACGTAGCGGTTGTGGTCAACTGAAAGCGCATGGTACCTGCCGCTCCATATTCCTGCAAAGAAAATATTCTTGTAAGGAACCGAAAGTTACAAGTCAAACTTCAGAATTACACTCTCTAGCCGATAGGTGACTCATAGATTGTTTATAAAGTTGTATAAGCTGGAAATATTATTCAGCGTCATATGATAGTATTGGTTGGAGTGAACAGGTGGAAGCAAACGAAACCATAATTCGCCCGTCTGTTATGAGGGAAGCACTGCAAACTTTCTCCCTTCTGATGCTGTGTTGATGGTGTTAGTTTCAACTTATTATTCAGTGCTACCCTCCCATGGAATTCTCTGTCTGCTCGTATTTCTCACAGGTAGATTGTGCAATGTACTGTTATGTCTCTGTCATGATTCTGTGGGTGATACATGTCCTGTTTAACTGGTTCTCCTTGGTTTGGTATTCTCTGAGGAGTAGGAACTGTGAAGCTCCTCACTGTGCACCTTTCTCCAGCTTCCTGTTACATCCGGCCTTCTACTCGCTGCCATGTGAACATTACCGTAAGCACCAGCACATATTAAACAATACAAACTTAACCTTAACTTAAGCTTAATATATCTTCACGTAACCTAACCTAACCTAACCTAGTCTAGCCAAGCCTCGCGTCGCCCGGTCTCGCTTCGCCTCACTTCAATTTACGTTAAGCAACGTCAAGTCACACCAAGTAACGCCAAGTCACGTCAAGATACGTCAAGTTACGCCAAGACACATCAAATTCATATAAAGACAGGTCAAGTCACGACAAGTCACGCCAAGTCAGGTCACTTCACGTCACCATACCTCACCTAACCGTACCTCACCTCAGTTCACCTAACTTAAGAGAAGGGACGTGTACCGCTCAGTTACTGATTGACGCGAACATATCTTCTGCGCAAAACTAACCTACCATAACCTAACCTAACTTAACCAAACCTAATTTAACTTGACGTCAACTAACCTAACCTAACTTAGCCTAGCCTCACCTAGCCTGGTCTCACTTCGCCTCACGTCATGTTAGGTGACGCCACGTAAAGTCACACCTTGTAACGTCAAATCACGACACGTCATGCGTTATCACGTCAAGCCACGGCAAGTTACGTCAAAACACGCCAAGATTCGCGTAAAGACGTCAACTAACGTCAAGTCACGCCAATTCAAGTAAAATCAGGCGAAGTCAAGCGTAATCACGACATGTCACGCAAAGTCACGCGTAATCACGACATGTCACGCAAAGTCACGTCATGTCACTTCACGTCACCTCACCTCACCACACCTAATTTCAGCGAAGGGACGTGAACCGCTCAGTTACTGATTGATGCGCACTTGTCTATTGCGCAAAAATAACCTACCCTAACCTAAATTTAATAACATAACCAAACCTAAATTGAAGTAACGAAACCTAACCTAACCTAACCTAACTCGACGTAACCTAACCTAACCTAGCCTAGCCTCGCCTCGCCTCGCCTCGCCTGGTCTCACTTGGCCTCACGTCAAGTTAGGTCAGGCCACGTAAACTCACGCTTTGAAACGTCAAATCACTCCAAGTCACACATTATCACATCAAGTCACGTCAAATCACGCCAAGTCACGCGTAATGATGTCATGTCACGCCAAGTAACGTCAGGGCACGCCAATTCAAGTCAAATCAGGCCAAGTCACGCGTAATCACGACAAGTCACAAAAAGTCACGCCAAGTCACGTCATGTCAAATCACGTGACCTCACTTCACCACACCGCAATTCACCTCGCCTCACTTCACCTCACCTAATTTAAGAGAAGGGACGTGTACCGCTCAGTTACTGATTGATGCGCACTTGTCTACTGCGCAAATATAACGTACCCTAACCTAACCTAAATTAAAATAACCTAACCTAACCTAACTTGACATAACCTAACGTAACTTAGCCTAGCCTCACCTAGCCTGGTCTCACTTCTCCTCACGTCAAGTTAGGTCAGGTCACGTAAAGTCACGCTTTGTAACGTCAAATCACACCAAGTCACGCATTATCACGTCAAGTCACGCAAAGTTACGCTAAGTCACGTCAAATCACGCCATGTCACGCGTAATGAAATCATGTCACGCCAAGTAACATCAAGTCACGCCAATTTAAGTCAAATCAAGGCAAGTCACCCGTAATCTTGACAAGTCACGCAAAGTCACTCCAAGTCACGTCATGACAAATCACGTCACCTCACCTCACCACACCGCAATTCACCTCACCTCACCTAACTTAAGAGAAGGGACGTGTACCGCTCAGTTACTGATTGATGCGCACTTGTCTACTGCGCAAAACTAACCTACCCTAACCTAAATTAAATAACCTAACCTAACCTAACTTGACCTAACATAACCTAACCTAACTTAACTTGACGTAACCTAACCTAACCTAATCTAACTTGACGTAACCCAACCTAACCTAGCCTAGCCTCGCCTCGCCTGGTCTCACTTCGCCCCACGTCAAGTTAAGTCAGGCCACGTAAACTGACGCTTTGTAACGTCAAATCACTCCAAGTCATGCATTATCACATCAAATCACACCAAGTTACGCCAAGTCACGTCAAATCACGCCAAGTCACGCGTAATGACGTCATGTCACGCCAAGTATCGTCAAGTCAGGCCAATTCAAGTCAAATCAAGCCAAGTCACGTGTAATCACGACAAGTCACGCAAAGTCACGCCTAGTTACGTCATGTCAAATCACGTCACCTCACCTCACCACACCGCAATTCACCACACCTCACCTAATTTAAATTTGTCCTAATATTCGCGGACCACAAATTTATGTGTCATATTTACTTTCTCAGCTTCATTTACTTGCAGAAATTATCCTCTTATTGATATGATTTTGGTACAAATTTTACTGAATATTTTATACAAATTTTTAGTAAACTGTCTTCTTCAGTACTCGTATGGATAGGAACGTTTGTGGTTTTGGTATTTAGTGCAGTGAGTGTCTAGAAATATGTAGGCCTATATTTTTAGTGTAAGACTTCTTGACGACCTAGATTTCCCAGAAAGATATATCAAGGGAATATGGCATATATTTCCACTGTACTTTTTACGACTTGAGCCTTATGAATCCCGATCTATAACAATATCAGAGGTTTCTAGTTCAGAAATTCGTACGAATGTGTTTTGCTGCTTTTGGTTGATTACGTGTAACCTGCGTAGTTATGTAGGAAAGTATTCCATGATAATTTTTATTATTATAAAGCAAAAAACCTTCTTCGGTTTCTCCGTAACTCAGACCCTGGTTTGTCAGGTCGCTTCATATGTCATCATGGTGGACAGATTGTTTCTGGAACAGGCAAACTTCCGAGATCTGCATAATAGGTTAGGGGGCATCACATCACCAATTCAGTGTTTTGGCTGAAGTCACAATATCTGAATATATTTTAACACTGGTTGCAGAAACATGAACGTTCTTTTAAAATTTAATTGAAGTTTGATTCAAAGGTCACATTTGTGACTCTATATAGCTTTTCGCCGATTTGCATGGTGAAATCTCACAGTTATGGAATACCTAGACACTTACTTGCGTAATCTGGAGTTCGGGTGAAACTTTCAGTCACTGAACAATTTGCTACACAACTAGGCTCCGCATAATATACGTCGTAATATCCTTTGGTGTTCCAGTCCACAACAGTTCCCACCAGTCGATCGCGAGTGCGCGTGCTGTAAGAACATATCATGTGAATGAAACTGTAAATGGCGGTACGAAAATTTGGTACAGCGTACAAATTTTTTTAATTTTCTTTCTTTTATCTAATTCCGTGAAATATTTAATACCACAGACAAAGTATATTATCCCTAAATTTTCTTCTTGAGAAACATTTCGCTTCGACAAATACTTCCTTAATTAGAAGCAAAGAACAGAAACCAAAGCATACTTTTTTAAATGTTCCTTATTTCTTTCGAATTGTATGTAATGTTATAATTTTTGTCATATTTAAAGTTCGAAAATATAAAATATCATTGAAATTAATTCACCCTTTCTCGAGTGATGATCTGGAAGAGAAAAGCATATGGCAAAGACAGTAGAAGCAACTCAGAAAAGTTGCCCTGCGAGATCGACAGACAGTCATTGACTACCAAGTGCAGACACGACAGATAGGAAGAGATATCTCAGATTGTTCTGAGTATAGAATAGTCTGAAACTTCCATAGAAGTAGAAGACTTGTTGTTGATGTCGCACCTTATTTCTGATTGCAATACCTGTATGAATATCTGTAACAGATACGAGTATGTGATTGTTACCTGTATTTATACACAAGTAGGGATTTTGGATACTTTTCCAGAAATTGAGTTCATAAGTTAAGCTTGCTCATTTCGTGACATGCCTTTTATCGAGGTATGAAAATTCGGTTTCGTGAGTTCATTCTTATTAGGAATGCGTTGAATAGTAAGATGTTTCTCCATAAACACCACGGAGAGAGAAAATTAAATCGACTGCTTGTTTTGACATTCTCCTGCAATGTCTTCATGGTTCATGGTACAAGACTACATTTGTGTTCGCAGTAAGAAGGACTCGTTCTGACCAAACGCCTTGCATTACAGTCAAACACGTGACTACCAGTTAAGTTAGAACTTCCATACATTGGAAGATATTAGGTGGAATGGATTCCTGTTGTAAGCTCACCTCTTGACATACACGTAGGTTGTTATTCTTGCGAACTGTTTAGTGATTGCATCATACGTGATCACCGGACAGTCCAGGTTGTCGTCATATTTATGGGGGATGTGGTACAGCCAATACCAAGTACCTGTAAACTATAAGGCAGAGAAATGAGAGGGACACCTTTTCAATTAATGAATTTTATTTTGTAAATTTCACGTTATTGACATTATGTGACTTTACAGAGTAACTTACATTAGTCCAGTCTGTTTGGTTGAGATTCAATTTACCGATGTCACAGTCAGCAGAAACTACCGTCAACCTGGCGATTACACCAAGGAGGATGATAGGCAGCATAATGAACTTCGGTCCTGTAACTGAAGAAAACTGCAAATATTCAAGATTTCGTTTCCTTGTTTGCTCTCTTCACTCGCTGTATACAAGGTGTCCCAGGGGGAATGGCGTTCCTTATGTTAAAGTATGCTGATATAACCCAAAACACCTATGTCGAAAGTTGAACGGTTACGGAGATAATGGCCAGAGAAAAGTGTGGTCTACTGGCGGGTCCACGCACTGTACCAGTCAGCTGAGACGCCTTATCTATGTTTGTCCTTGAGTGCGGTGATTCACCCTAGCCGTAAGCACATGGGCTACGTACATAGTATGTTGCGGCTGCATCGAGAATGGTTGGTAATTAGTTGTGCGAAGTTGCTGAAATGCCTTTTGTGTTTTCACACGTTGAATATTGTGATATGCATTTTGTGTATGGTTTTTGCGGTGGCAATGCACGTGCTGCTGTTGAAGAGTACCAAAGGCGTTTTCCCGATCGAAGGATTTCATCTCGAAGTGTATTTACGCGAATTCACCAGACATTGCGTGAGACTGGTTCTCTTCCGAGTGTTTCTGTGCAGTCGGAAAGGGAGGATGTACAAATGAGAAACACACGAGAGAACATTCTTCGCATGATTGATAGAAGTCCGCGTCTGTCCACTCGTAGAATGGCCTCTCGCATCGGCGTATCACGTATGCAGGTGTGGCGAACTTTACATGATGAAGAGTTGTATCCTTACCATCATCAAAGGGTACAACATCTGGAACCAGGCGACCATGCACAGCGTATGGATTTGTGCCACTGGATAAAAGCTCATCCCGAACTGTTAAGCGTCATTTTATTCAGTGATGAGGCGTCTTTTACCCTGGACGGTGTAAATAATTTACGAAATGTGCATACGTGGTCCTATAATAATCCACATGAGATAATGGAAACGACATTCCAAAAGAGACTTTCTGTGAATGTACGTTTAATACAGTTATGTGTTCGGCTTCTAGCGCAGTCAGCCATGTTACGTCAGCGCTTTCCAGTCATGTGTCATGTATAGTGCTTGGAAACCTTAAGGACAATTATGACATGGCGAGCGAGTATTTTGTACTTCAATTTTATGGCTTCATGTCACTCACGAGTTAGTTTGATGTACGTACATTATTAACATTACAGAAACCACATATTCCTGCCAGTTTTAATATGTATTTTGTAATCAACAAGTGTGTAACAGCGGTCAAAATTTCACACTTCTCTTGCCATTATCTCCGTAACCGTTCAACTTTGGACTTAGGTGTTTTGAGTTATGTCGGCATACTTTAACTTAAGGAACACCCTCCCGAAGTTTTGACCATTCCTCCTGAGACATCCTGTATATGCGACTTACACTGTGGACGAGAGCTTTAGTTCGCTAAAGTATATAGGAGCCCGGACGTCGCTGTGCGGGAGTTGTTATGGTGTTCATCAAGGGTGAGAATTCTTGTTCAGGGCGAGAAAGCGATATATTGAAAATGTGGAGACACAGGCGACGGAATGGACCACACGACTTAATAGGAATTCCCCTCTCACTTTTGTTTGAAAATTATTATCCTGTGTGTAATAGCTTCTATTTCATGTGGGCCTTTGATTTACAAGGTCTGGAGTTGACCGTCGAATCCTGTGATGTGTAATGTTGATTAAATTAGAAAATATGAGGATTATTCTTGGATACCGCAGCAAGAGACAGAATTTTCAAAATTTCGCAGTGATTCTTCGCTAATATTTCATATGTGGTAAGAATGTAAGTCAATTTATTACATGACATATTATTTATTTACAGCAAAGCAAGGCGTGTATTTTATTGTGCACTGAAATAAATAGGATATGGAATCGCTGTCGAATGGTTAGGAATTCTGTTTTTCTGAATCAGGCATTCTGTATTATTGCTCAGTTAATTAACGCAGATTTCCTTGTAATATTCCAAAAGCTCAGTATTTAATATTGTATCATTGAAAACTGGAGCAATGCTAGTTATGATATAAAGATAGGAAACAGATGTTTTGAAAATGTGGCACAGTTCAGATATTTGAGAACAACGATGACAGATCGAAACCTGATTCAGAAGGAAATTAAGAAGCGATTGAATTCGGGTAATGCTTCCTACCATTCAGCCCAGAACCTTTTGTCTTCTCGTCTGCTGTCCAAAACATAAAAATTAGAATACACAAAACTCTTATTTTGCCTGTGGTTCTGTATGGGTGTGAAACTTGGTCTCTGACATTAAGGGAGGAACATAGATTGAGGGTGTTTGAGAGCAGGTTGTTGAGGAGAATATTTGGACTGAAGAGGGATGAAGTGACAGAAGGTTGGAGAAAACTGCATAATGAGGAGCTTCATAACTTGTACTCTTTCCAAGTATAATTAAAATGATCCAAGTCAAGGAGAATGAGGTGGGCAGGTCATGAAGCACGAATGGGGGAGAAAAGGAATGCATATAGGATATTGGTGGGAAAGCCAGAAGGAAGGAGGCCACAGGGAAGACCAAGGCCTAGATGGTTGGGTAATATTAGGATGGATCTTAGAGAGATAGGATGGGATGGTATTGATTGGACTGATCTGGCTCAGGATAGGGACCAGTGTAGGTCTCTTGTGAACACGGTTATGAACCTTCGGGTTTCATAAAATGCTGAGGTTTTGTATCTCGAACTTAATGTATCACCTCCTGTTTGAATTTATTCTGCCGTAATCAGTAGTTGATGATGTATAAATTTTCAAATTAGCAATAGAAAATTCTACATAAATGCACTATGTTTGTAGTTTTTCCAGCTGCTTAACATTATTGACCCTACGCATATTCAGTAGCTTGGAGAAATAATTTTTGTAACTAATCAAGGTGGCCTCGGTTTCTCCAAGCAATTCACTGTTCTTAGTATTTACCTAGTTATCCTGGGATTGTGTCCCTTGAATTAGACCTCAATATATGTCCCTAATGAAATTCTTCTTATGCAGTGTTTCAAGCTCATTAGTTTTATTTTTCAGATATTCACAAACGAAAACACAAAACTGCTGTAAATTTTATTAACACAATTTCACATTACGTAATAATTGGGTCATATTTATTTAGTACTGCATTTGAACAGTATGAGAAATGTTATAAGTTCCTAATGGATTTCGTTAATAGTAACCGCTGTGAAGGAATAATTCCAAATTCACGTTTCAAACATTGCATTCAGCTGGACTGTCTGAGATAAAGCTTATTCATTTCTTCATGTTGTGTGTAAACGTACTGATACTAAATGAACTGACAACAGTATCATATCCAAATTTTCCTGTGAAACAGTACAGCCTGAGACTTATTTGTATGAAAAATGTCTTGTATTTAAAAAATCTGCGGCTTAGACTGTTGCTGCGGTATACAGGAACAAGGATTAATACTAAGGCCCGAAATTTTTATTTTATTAGGCTCAGTCTTTTATAGCAATAAATCCAGATTATTAATTTATGGTGTATGGCACGAATCCTTTTATTTAATTATTTATATATTTTTTTAATTCTGTTGTATTTAAACACGAGTTCTGACTTAGGGCTGCAGCCTAGACGCCGGTCTGATCGGCGGAATTTGAAGTTCTATCCCTAGAGATACTGTGTCACATTTGTAGTTTAATACGTAAGTGGCTGTGGTGCAGTGTCAGAGTATTTAGCCTTGTCAGCATTCACTCAGCAGTTTATCCTTTCCCATCTAGAACCGGCCCTGTTACGTGTGGCAACCGTGTCCCGTGTAGGAATTTTCATATGTTCGATGTCTGAGTTAGTGGTTTCATCTGTGACCCAGGGCTCTCCACCTTAGAGATAAAACTGTATTTATTCATTTCGTGACGTTTTAAACGGTAGGCTGTAATTCTGATGGTTGAATTAATGTATGTTGAATGGGAGAAAGGAGCTATGATCTGATTTAATGGCTCTGGGCAGAATTTGTCTCGGAGAGACGAAGGTATCTGCAAAACCCCCGATCTGGGATAAGTTGTCTCGACGGAAGTTTGAACTTGGGATACAGAAGTATGAAATTATAACGAGAAACACTGGACATCGCTTTTCGATATATTTCGATTTGAACTACAAATTATTAACTTTCTCTGTGTGCTCGGGTTATGAAACGCCATCTTCTCGTTAGAGAAGAGGAATGTGAATTTATTGAATAAGTGGCCTTCTGTAATTCTGCTCCATAAATTTGGAATGCACCGCGAACCAGGGTCTTTTTTAAATTTCTGTTGCAGTTAATTAGTATCACACAAATTATGAATATGTCGAGTGCACACTTTGCTTCAACCGTAATGCTTCCATTAGCGTCCCTTAAAGCGAAATGCCCCTTATATATATATATATTATATTCTTTACTTACAGAGCTTCGAATTCCAGGCTACACTGTCCTCCTCTGCTGTCTCTTTGCCGTCTTTCCTTTCGATATCTCGGGTTATATAGGCAAGGGTCTGTTTTGACGAACATGAATAATTTGGGCTTCATGATAAGAACTGCCATACAAAGGGGTTTAGTTAAAATGAATTTCATATCGTTAATATTTTATTTACAACCTGGCTCACGAATGATAAGCACCGGTTGTCACACACGTGTATAATGATTTTTTTTAATAGAAACGAAATTCTTCACATGCGCCACAAAATTTGTAAACAAAACACATATATGCTAGATATCGATCTGAAGGCCAACAATCATAAGTTAATATGGTCGTATTCTGACGTACTGAAGGTGGCCGACTGATTATCCAGTCGTCATGGTTTATGACATATAGTCTGGTTTCAGGGCACCATTGTTTCAGCGGAATATTTTGCCCTCAATTTCGGCCGTTACCACACCTCGTAGCCCATAATTATATGCACCAACAATTCAGATGAATATAATTGCTCCATGTTCATTGGTTATGACATGTTTCGTTGTAGTAGATGTATATAATTCTTTTTTGTGGGAGAATTGTCCATCTTCGGCTTCTGACACAGTGTACGCCACTGTACATGGGTACCGACGTTTCGGAGCAATATAGAGCGTTATTTTTGTCAGGGCTTGACGCCGCATAGCCTGCGCGTCCGAGGATCATGACACCATGATGTATATTAGGAGGTTAGGAACTATTTGGGGTGAAATATTTCCTCCTTCTTGAAGAGTTGTAAGGTGAAGTCATCTTGTAATTTGATACCTAAGTTTCGGAGGAGAATGCTGCTCCCATATTCAAGTTATGACATCGTGAGCTCTTGTAGTATATTGCTGGAAGGAATTGTTTCCATTTCTAGACAGCGAGGAATAAGAAGAATGTTGGTTTGTGTAATGGCGTGGTCTCCTCTGTATTCAGATCGCCTACTATCATTAGCAAACTCAAATGATCAATGAATTGCATATATTCCTCGAAAAGGAGGGGAAGGAATTCGTAAGCAATTGGCATGGAAGCCTCATGCACTTCGTTACTTTGAAGACGAATTTGGAAATGAGATTTTAATATTAATGTGGATGTATATAAATAAAATATCTGCTTACATCAGTCATAATTGACTGCAAAGAAGCATTTCATTGACCGGTTTCCTATTTTAGAAGCAGTGAAAGAATTTGGAATACAAAGTAAGATAATCTCTCTTACCATAATAACATTTTCAAATATATAGAATAAAGTTAGAACCGAGAATAAATTATGAAGAAATTTAGAGAAGAATGTGATATCAGGTAAGGAGATTCCTTATTCACAATATTGTTTAATATTGGTCTAGAGAAAAGGATAATTTTATAGATTAACACACGTGGTACAATATTCAACACAAATAGACAATTCATGGTTTATATTGTTGTTATAGTAATGATTGGTTGATCTGTCGGAGAGCTGAATGGAGCCCTTACACAAATAGAATCAGTCGCGGTATCTACTGGGCTGGAATACTTACACGACAAAGTATATGAAAACCAAAGAAACCGTAAATGTAGCCAATATTACTCACTCATTCATGGAGCTGAGCCCTTCTTGAGAGGTGCTCAATTGTGCAGTAACTCAAGAAATTCCAAGTATTTTATGGAGCTCGAAGTTTCATTACCGTGTTCGCAAGTGACCTCCACTGGTCCCTATCCTGAGCCAGATCGACCCAGTCTCTAACCGTCCTTCGTCATTGCGCACCGTTGGGTTGACCCCAAGGCCATAGTGAGGCTGGTAATATTAGGTCAATTGAAATATCCAGTTACCTCATTGGGAATCGAACCTCCGACCTTCCGGGTTGTAGCATAGTGCCAAGCAACTGTGTCCCTCATAACAAAAATGTAACTGAACTTTAGACTAGGAGACAGAAGTGGAGTTAGAAGACCGAAGTTGAGATGGTTACGTGACATAAATACGTGACATATAGGTGATATAAGAGCTCTAAGTATAAAAAAGTGGAGAATAAAAGCTTAAGATAGAAAAGAGTGGACATTAATTCGAAGGGAAGCTAAGGCTAAAATGAAGGGCCGTAAAGCCAGACGATGAAGACGAAGCAGTAGGTGGATGCTGGGGAGATAGGCTTTGAGTAAAGACTTTGGATAAAACTATCTCAGGTTCGCATTCATTGGCGATATTTCTTGTCATTTTAATCGAGAAAATTTTTATTGAAACGGTGTAAAGATATTATACGAAACTTTTTCTATATTCACGAAACTAGCTTAAACTGATAAAATAAAGGAAAGTAAAGTTGTCCGTATGCTTAACTAACTACGAACTACATCATGAAGACATATGGAGGAGTGGATGTATAGGTCCAGGCTTTCTTTTCCTTTGCACTATTTTGTGCTGAGTGGTCAGCTTCATGCCCTGGCAGCTTAACACCTGAGAAAAGGCCTCCTCCCCTACCAATTGGATAGGAAGGTGGGTGGGCCCCAGAGTCGGCGTGGACGACATGGAGAAGAGAAAATTCTTGACCCTTCCGGGACTCCGAACAACGTCGTCCAGCCCGTAGCCAGTTGCTATGCCAAGTGCAATATCCTGGATCCCAGCTTAAGCTGATATTAGTGGAAACTGTATACATTGATAAGTCGCTATATTTCAATGAGATGTGTAGATATTTGTTATGCATTGCCGTTGGAAACTTTAAATATTAAACTTCTGAGACTATACAGAATTAATATGCTTATTTTGGACTATATCCATCGTCTGCTATAAGACAAAAAACCACAACGTTTCGGAGACTGGATCTGTCTCCGTCTTCAGGTGGATGGGACAGGATAGACGTTTGGCCCGTTAGAAAGAGCTAGTCTCAATCACTGGACCAAAATAAATCTAATAGTTCTGTACAGCTTACAACATCGTCAGAATTCTTTCAAGTCTATTTCTGAGACTATGTTTCGAACGAATTCGAACTGTAGACACCACTCTAAAGACCTGCGTGTGGATAGGGTTGTTATTTTGAAATTACTGCTAAAGTCATATTTTGGTGATTGCAGTCACCAATAGCTCCGTCGTGTGAACTCGGAAATGCACGTATTGATTCTGTAATAGACGGGAAATTTCTTATATACATTTGTGTCTCTTTTTTGAAGTCAATGACGTCACTGCTGGACGTAATAAACAGAAGATTGACGAGTCAATTCATAATAACTTGACGTGGTTCACAGTAATTGCAATAATGCAGATGATAGCGTTCTGTGACAGTTTGAAATTATGTTTCAAGTATCTGCGCACAGGTTGACCATGTAAATAATTCATTTGGTAATATTTCACTGAGAGAATGACATAAAGCTTTTGTTTTAAGATCTTGTCTAATAAATAACACAGGTCTGCAACCAAAAAAAACTGCATAGGATATTTTTACTGTTTCTTATAGATTTTTACTCACTAAAACCGGAAAAAATAGTAAAAAAATCCATCACGTCAAATTTTTTTTGCAAAACTTATATTTTTAGTTTAATTTTGCGTGAAATTTCTCTTCAACGTGAAATCTGGTATCCTATTGTTGATTCTAAAAACCATATCCAAAAATTATTTCTTACTTTAAAATAATATTTATAAGAGTGAATCTAAAAAATAATACAAATAGAAAATGGGGGGCAGTGGAAGGGGTTGGTAGGGTGGGTTTGGCTGTGTGAGGAGCTCAGGCGATCATCTCCCAACACGTTTACTTTGTTTGTAGCGAAAGGTGAGGAATTTTACTAGCTCGGTTGAGCATGTTTGGATATGTTCTTTGGGGCAATAGGAATGAGTATAAACAAGCCTGCTGTCAGATTTGATAATGTCTCAACATGCTAAATAAGTTCAGGATCTTGGTATGTATAAGCCACTCAGTTTACATCCTGCATTCAAACGTGACTGTGCTTGTGTTTTAACTCTGTATTATGGCTCAAAGAGGTTGTGTTATTTCTCNAGTTTTGGCATTCCTATGATGTGACGTGAAAAGCAAAACCACACGGCTGATTGTTATTTCTGTTCGGTAAATGTGAAAGGCTTTAATACAAAAAAAAAAAAAAAAAAAATAAGAAGAAAATATTTTACCCACACCTTAATTCACCTATTC